ACCCAAGAGAGAATAATTTATTTAATAATATATATTATTAAAAACTAGATCATTGGATAATGCAATTCAAGACTTTTTATTGGCTTAGCCATTATGGTATATCAGCCAATATACAATAATCTACAAATATGGCAAGCGTACATTTCAGCTTAAGATTAAAAGGGAGCTAAAAATTTAATAATTTAATAATTTAATTTAATAACGTTTTAATAAAACAATTATTCCACTCGCACTTGTTGGATATGAGATGATTATAGCCAACTCGGCACTACGCGCCTCGTTGGCTATCTATCATCTCATATCCAACGCCCGCTCATGGAATAATTGTTAATCATATAAATAACTATTTTGTATGACCTGTGTGACCCCACACAGGCTTTTACTGAAAAACTTAAGACAAAAATCTCTGTATGAGGACTGTGGGCAATGGTATGAGCAGCATCACATAAAAACCTACAGCCCTGGAAGCCACGAGCTTAAAGGAAAGGGAAAGAAAAAGAAAGAGTGACTGTCTTAATTATAATAAACTGCTTATCGACTGTGTTTAAGGTCAAGTTGAACAGGAAAATATCTGACTTGTGATGCTTGGTTCATATTTCTTGACCTTGAGCCTGTCCAGCCCTCCCTTACAGTCAATAAGTACATAAACCCAAAGACTGTCAACAATTAATTTTGTGATTTGACAGCCATGCAGTCTCAAGTAATAGTAATGAATAAAGGCTGATAGTTTCTACAGAAACTGTTTGGGGCTGTGTCGGTGGGGGTAACAAAATAACTTGAATATCGTCGCTCTAACGAAGGGCTAACGCTCGAAACATCAGCTTTTATAATCGTAACAGTGGCCAATTTACCATTTCAACTTTGTTGATATATTCAAATTATCTAGTTCACTGCTACAAGATGTTGTATGCAAGTGCAGATTCTACAAAGAGAAGTTACAACAGTCATGTTCAATGTAAACAGGTGAATAATACCAACCTAACCCAGTGAGTACCATGGCCCCAAGATCTGCAATGTACTGGCCTTTACGGAATGTTGCAACCCTTCCTCCAACACGTTCCTGCAGGCAATATCAAAGAAAAGATAATAGTGCCACAACAAAAATAAACTATCAACAAATTACCCTTGATGACAAAGAACTTTGATTGAAATTTCAACCAACTGAATGTCGAGAACTATTAATAGTGCCTTACCCTTGCTTCTACAATTGTGACATCAATTCCAAAAGACTGTAACTGTCGGGCAGCTGCCAAACCAGAGATTCCTGAACCAACAACTATCACTTTGGGTGCCTTTTTTACTATAAAGGGAACAAAACATTCACTAACACCTTCTAATTATCTCCAACTCATTTCAGAAGCGTTTTTAAAATGCGACAGTCATAATAAAAGGTAACTGCCAAATTTTTCCTCCCTTAAACGAAGTGTGTAATTCTTGAAAACCACATTGCTACATGACTGGGTTCCAAGTCAAAACTCAAATCCTGGATAAAATTATTAGTTCTATTCTGGGTTCTTAAAAGAATTATTGATGTTGACGTAAGAAGAGAGGAATAATAGACCTTAGAACAAGGTTATAGCTGGCACCCTAACTTGGATCCTTACCCACACATTCATAAAAAAAAAAAAAAAGTGACTTTCAACTGTCGAGAAGTACATGAATGCACCCAGCACCTCACTTAGTATGTAATTGTCTGTCCATGGTTATTATGCATTAAGTTGTTGGCTTATAGAAGCAAGCACAATGAAAACTCCACAGAAACATTTCTATGCAGAAAGTATTGGTCTTCTGATCCAGTCTACAATAAATGTATATGTGTCACATAAATGGTATGGTCCACACATTTCTCAAAAATAATCATTTTAAATTATGGAAAAAGATGCAGTCTAAGATGAATGTTAAGTTAAAATCACCAACCTTACAAGTTGATGTGTAATTCAAAGACTACATAGACTGTACAGCACATAAGATCAATATATACTGTAATTTTACATTTAACTATAAGTTCTACTTACATGCTGCAGGCATTTTAAGAACCTTGTATATTCCAAAGTTTATCAAGCCATATCGTGAAAGGAAGGCATGGACTCTTGCTGCAAGTTTTGGATCACCTAAAGAGAAAACAAAAATTAACAATTGTGCTTTTCCTAGCCAGAGGTAAACCTATTTTGGCACTAATTTTCACCTCATTTTATACAATGCTGATGAAAAATTGTAAAACCACTGAAATATCATTGAGGAAATTTGTACATGAGCCATTTTCAGGTTACCAGTAACAGGTTTAAATCTGCAAATCGATTCCACATTTAGAAGTTCCTCTCAGGTTTGTGTGAACTTTGTGGAATGCCTAAGACACTGGATAGTTTGTGGTTTTGTGTGTAATCTGAAAAAACAATGCCATCCCTGATAACTTGGCCAGTCACTATTTCTTATTTGCTTAAAACTTCAGACATATTGAAAAACTATTATATGAATGTTAAGAAAAAGAATAAAATAAAAGACAGCAAGAGAATGTACAAAAAAAACCTTACTATTCTGAGGTTCCAACTGTGACATTGCATGTTCCAAAGTCATCTGCTGTCGTGGATTTTCAACCCATAGTTGTAGCTTATGTAAGAAAGAAAAAACAACAACAACTCCATAAAAACTTCAAAAAGAAATACTGTGCACTCTTGCATGCGTCTGACAGTGAGAGAAGGGTATCATCTGTAGGTGTCAAGTTTCAAAATTTACTTTATTAGTAATTTACAAGTAACTTTCAAAAGAAGCAAAATCCACATTTAAAGTATGACATGTAATTATATTCATTCAACATACCATTCTATTCCTGATGTATAGAAATTGTTTCTGGACTGGGGGAGGGCCCTGAGAGACATCTGGGAAACACGATGCCTCTTGTGATGTCATCTTGTCAAATGGCAATCTACTCTGGAATGCTGCACCCTCGAGTCCTGTTAGTGTAAATCTAGTTAGTTGAATGAGACTTTCAGTTAAACTTATTCCAAACAGGCTATGTTCATTGTTTGATCTACATCTAAGAACTACAATTATCTTTCTGGAACCAAAGGAATTAAAACTTTTACTGATTTAAAACTATTTGGACCTAAACCTAGTGTGACATCAATTATGTTGAAATTTAAAATGAATTTCAGTTAGAATAATTTCAAATTGATGTTAGTTGTGCTACTATGTAGCCTCACTGGGAGCTCTTCAGTTGAAAAGGCTTGGAATAATTACAAATGCCTGAAAGTAAAGTCAACAGAGCCATCATAACTACAAACACATGCTCAGTAGCTGGGGGTTCTTGCTGGGAAATATATCATGGAATACTACGAATCTTCTAAGGATTTGAATACATAGATGAATAAAAGAAAACAAGGAAGATGTAAAGACACAAGCAGAAAGAGAGAATTACAAACACTGTAGGTTGCTAATTTAGAAAATCTTGACCAAAATGTAATGTTTCAACTCCCTTGACAAAAAACTGATTGCACACTTTGTCATGGTGACTAGCAATGAAAAATCCTTGAACCATATAGATCATGTCTAATCCAAGATGGTCATAAAAATGACACAGAAATGTGAGACATGGAAAAATATCTCCAAAACTGCATCAACATGCATTGTAACTGCACCATAAAATGCACAAATTGAATTTTTCTTCTTCTTCTTCTTCAGTGCAGTGTACATAAAAATAATGATATCGAATCGACTATTTCTTAAGTTTGGATGACTAATGCAATAATTTCAACTGCCATAAATCAAAGAAAACTAGCCTTCAGGTACATCTTCTTCTTCGTCTTCCTCTTCTACTTCTCGTGGCTCTTCGGCCTCCATAGGTGGAGGAACTGGTGATGCCCTTGTAGTGGTTCTGATGATTTCGTCATCTGACATTTCCTCATCTGTCAAGTTTGCTAACTTTACATCTACTTCTGTGTATTCAACCTAAAGTAAAAAAACTCCATTGCTCAATTAAAACAATATTTTGCATAAAGCAATCACCTAACAACAGTAGCACAAAAGAAGGACTGTATTTCCAGCAGAGTTCAAACATCTAATCTCAACATGTCAACCCGAAAACCAAAATGACAATGAGATCTTCTCCCACATGGCATATGTTTATCATAACGATTCAGAGTGATCCTTGAAAAGTGATTGGCTAATTTGAAGCAACAAATCAAATTGCAAGATAATAAGAGACAATTTTTGCAACTTTTTACAAAACAGCTCAGTACTGGATCAAAAAAATATTTGTACAGGCTGAAAAATCCTATATAAGAGAAAGTGAATTTTGAGATTTCAAATGGATGTAACAAGTAGTTGAACTGAGTGAAGTGCAATTTGGGACTGAAATCATGCTTGCGATTTCCATTCAAACTTGCCATACATGCTTACTTGATTCTGAAATCATGCATATAATTTCAGACCAACCAGGTATAGCTTGAGTACAAAGTTTAGGTAAGCATGATTAATGCCAACTAGAGTTCACAAAACCCTATACCCTCACCAACAAGTACAAAAACATATCTTGGCTTTGGTTGACAAGTCAAGAGCAGAGAGCTGAAGGTGTCCTCCCAGACAATACTGTAGAACATGAAATTACAAAATATGGCATCTTGCCCAGCCTTATTGATGGTTAAATTGCATATAAAAAAATCATGGCAAGAGTTCCATATAACCCCAACATATGCATAGAGTGTTGTTAAGATACCTTTATAGTTAGTCTTTAATGAAATGAATGCATAATTAGTGTATGGGGTTATATGGAACTCTTTCCAAAAATCACAACTCCAATCATCAACTGTGATATTTCACCTTACAGACAATGTAAATAAAACAGTTATTTTAAATTCAGACAGGGAAACTGGCAAATAAATTTAACTACATGTACATTAATGTAGGAAAAAAGCTTAGAAAAGAAAACCTTTAGGGACTTGATATTTACGCCTAAATTATGTGTAGCTGTTTCATATATGCAAGATGGTTTGCAAAACAAAGGCATGGCAAAAGCTGTCAGGCGCTGAATTAATGATCAGGAAATATATTTTGTAGTTTGCCGATTTTTCTTTACGCTTTACGGATGCTCCCCTCAACAGGGCATCTTTACAATACGACTGCGTTGCCTGCATGCCAATATGAAAACTAGTACTCAAATCTGAGCGCTAAAGAGAAATAAACAGCGCGAAAATTCATCAAAATTAACAGCTGAACACATGGAGAACGCGTGTTAGCTCATAAATACATTCACCGATTGCTTCGCTGTCTGAAGTAAAAAATACAAACTGTTTCCGTTCTCTTGATTATTTCTTGTCCCTCGACAATCATGCTTCAAACAAAATTATCCACAATCGGGGAATACAGTCAATTTTAGACATAAACACGTCTTTTCCTCTAAATCCAGTTCAGCGAGCGTACGGAAGGACTTAAGTTGTGTAACCATTAGACAATTCGCTTACCTCCATCGTCAGAAAACGACAAATTACGCGCGGCGATTTCAGACAGAAATTGTTCAAGTCTCTATCAGTTTCGCGTAATAAAAGCCAAACGATTTTTCACAAATTCAGACAGGAATTTCCTTGTAAAAACGATGTTTGGGCTTCAGCGAAGAACAAGTGAAAATTCATCAGACATTCCCCAATCTTCCCGCGGACAAGGGTTCCCGAGTGACCACCCCACTATCAAATATGTAAACAATCCAAACGCGCAAAGCCTAAAAAAATTGAGTGATTTATTCGGTGTTCCGGAAAAAAAAACACAGCGATGGCTCTGTAATCAATTTAAAAAGGTGATAGACTGAACACTTGGTGTACGGAACGAAGGAATTGTACATTTGCCGAGGAAATCTTCAAACGACTCTAACCCGTTGCGTGTTAGTGATTACAAAGTTTCATTGTTGACAATGTGACGTAGAGCTTCCCATTTCTGGTTTCAAAATCTTGTCATAAATCTCTCATTTACTCTCATCCGAGCCGGAACGAAGGAATTTAACAGTTTCTCCAACTTTTTTCCCTATTCAGAATTCAGAAATGGAAGTTAACAGTTACGAGGAACTATCAAATAAATCCTTGAGACAAAGCCCATGTGACTACGAACCACGAACCAGTCAGCTTTCATTGCTTCAATGACAGTTCGTTTAGTATTGCATAAATTTAGTGTCCCCGGATCGGAGGTCACGATAGATTGTACCAGAGATATTCGATTCTTAAGACTTCAAATGTGTCTTTCGTTCCTTGGAAAGACTCCATCTGAAACCGTAAGAAAAGGCTAAAGCTGAAACACAAAACCGTATTGTTGACAATAAATTGAAGAATGTTGCATAATATATCATGAATGACAAATTTAGATAATGAAGACAAACTGTGAACATACTTTAGGCCGCTTTCGCTGACTTGTCCTTCTAGCAATTTCACTTTCTAAATCAAACATTTCGGCATCGGTTCTTCGGTTCGGGCTACCTCCATTCTGCCGTTTTTCTTCGAGACTGTTAGAGCCTGACTGACTTCCATTCACACCCTGACCTGGCATATTTGGTTTAGGTGCTATGAAAGGAAGGCCGACTGGAGGCTTAGGAAGAATTGGTGGCGGATATGAACCCGACATTATCAAATTCTAGATGCTACTTGACCTATCTGGCCACTTTTGGACGAGCCTAGTTCAACTTCTAAGTTTGGAAATAAATTGTGGAAATTGGGTGAAAATTCAGCGTGATAATCTGGCTGAGAGAAATGACAAAGGGCCAGGTGGAATAACAACGTGAATTAAGGCACGTGATTAAAAGCCACCAATCACTGCACGACTACAACGCATGCGCCTTACCAAATGCAACAATTTCCATGGCAACGGGTTATTGACAGAATCAATACACTGACTGTTAGATTTCTTTCCTTATATCTTATCAGCGATTTCCATTTCAGTGGCTTAATTGTATTCCACATTTCGATCTTAAAACGTGGATGTGGTAATACGATCATTAATCGATTGTTTTCGACCGGATCGATTGTGTTTTTTGCTGTATAAAATTTCTTTGAGAAACTTAGTACGTCATTGGCACGAGCTTGGCAACTGTCACTAAAACCCTTGACAACCATCTATTACAAGTCGGGAGTTTTATTTCCTTTTCTTCAAGGATATCTACCGATGTATATTTGTATACTTGGTTAAAAATAAATGGACCAATCGAAACACGCACCAATGTGCACAAACTGGAAGAGATTAGACTTTCAATGTCGATAAACAGTGCTGTACGCCAGATGTTTTCGCCGACGCTATTGACATTTATAAGCATGAGTTCTGTCCATTTCCTGTTCTCTTCTCGATATGATTGCCTTCGAAATTATCGATTACAAAGGATTCTTCTTGTTTAAATATAAAGGAAATCTTAAATATTAACGGGAAACAAACCGCATGCAATATTTATGTGCATATACTGGACGCCATAATATCGACATTTGATTGGCGCAAATTTCACTTCCCTGCTAGGGGTCAGTTGTCAGAGGGAAATACCTGTTCATTCCCAGTGTTGATATGAATTTATCACGAACATTGACCTCTATTTACCCTCTTCGATCGGCTTTCCTCTTGAACAGAAGGAAAAGGCAACTTAAAATTAGTTTAATCAACTTGAAAAACGAATTATTAGCCGAATTTTAGCAAACCTCCTTCCGCTGTCAATCAATCAATTGCCTCCAGCGGTTTATCTTTCGATTTCCCATGGCCAAACATTGGGTCTAACGTGGAAGAAGATTGACCATTTGTTATGGAAAGTTCTGATATTTTCAAATTTCAGACGACCAACAGAGATGTAGGGAGGAGAGGAAATCTTGTTGGCGGTAACAAACAGACCATGAAAGTCATTCCATCGCGTGTGTTTACATTACAGTGCATATATTTATTTTGTAAAGCTTCAGTTCAATCTCTGTCGCCAACTTCTATTCAAAAGCTTCTAATAAGAATTGGATAAGCATTATTCAACAAAGTCATTACGAGATTAAAAGATTTTTGTGATAATTGGTGCAACTCAATTTTGTTTTTTCAGGAAACGATCACAAACCGTAAAACATCAAAAACGCGTGGGATATTCAGCTTCTTGAGTATCTCGCTGCTCCGGTTAAATAGTGCATGAGCTTTTCGAAAACTTTTGTAGGGCCATGTTCCACATGAGGCGATGTTGTCCTTGCCTTCACCGCTCTTTCCTCAATTTGCCATCATTTTCTTTTTGTTTACAACAAAGTGCGGGTTTCCGTTATCGAGACATCTTCAACAGAGTAAGAACTCTTTCCAGTATGAACGCCGGCTATATAGTCAGATACAAAGATAACTCTGAAAGGTTTCGATCTTTTAAATATCAGTAACAGAGCAGAAATTCCCAAATGAATAGCAGCCGAGCAAAAACTGCTCTCAAAGAAACAGAAGACCATCCAACCAACACACCGGGTTTAGATTCTCACGAGGGCAACCTCAATCGGTTTACCGTATGATGACTGCAGTTTTGTGAAGCCGAAGTGATCTTGTATTTATTCACCTGATAGGGACGAAAATTCCCCAAAGTAAACCCTTCCTTTCTTCCCACCATTTTTAAGGAGCAAAATTTTTAGAGGATAAACAGTTCTGG